AAAAAAAAAAGAACTTTTATTAGTAATAAATATAAATAAAATATTTTTTTAAATAGATTTTATTAATAAAAATAAATAACTTATCTCAGTATTGAATTGTCACTGATTTCAAGTTAAAGTTGACCCAAGTTATAAATAGTTTTAACTAGAGGTAAATTACTGTAATTCTATACTTTTTATACTTGAAACTACTATTATGCTCAAGACAAGTTTATATTTTATTTACCATAGAGCACTGCATTCAGTACCCAGGTACAAATCAAAAAACCTTGGTTAACTTGATTTGTACTCGGGGAATTTGATACGAGAGAACAGATAAAATCCAGAAATATATCAAATTATTTTAGGCAGGGTTATGCTTATTAGATGAAAATAGCTACACCAATACAATTGAAATCAAATGACAGTAATGTGATTTTAATTTGGTAAGATACAATTCTAAAGAGGTACTGAATGCAGATAGCATATGATTTTTTTTTTTCTTCTTTAAAAAAAAAGACTTCCGAACAAATTTATACACTTGGTTACAATTAATAGTATTAATATTAAGAAAATAAAAAAAACTCTTTGAATGCTAACTTTCAAATTTAAATATTAGAATTCGTGTTCGTATCTGATTAGATAGTTTTCTTATATAGGATAGTGGCTTGTAGCTTAGCTTAGCTCAAGGTTAATTGGCTTACAAACAGCTTGGCTCTGACTTTGGAGCCAAAAGATCGGCTCAGCTTGGTCAATGCAAGCTGTGAGCCGAGCTAAGCTGAGCTGTTTGTATCACTATTGGGGACTCAGAAATCTAGTCTTTTGTAGTTGAACTCGAAATCATTGTGATTCTAAAGTATAATCTGGACATGTTCGACCTTCTGATGATTTATTATCTGTATGTCCAATCATATTAAATAATGTATAACACAACTAATAATCATTTGAAATTATATAAGTATAGATACTCTTTGTTTAAGTACAAATATATAGTATCTACCTTAATAAACTTTGTACAATTATGCACCGCTATCCTCCAATGTTTTTGCGAAGATACGGGTAGAATTAAAGCTTTCAACAACTTATTGATTTCTTTAAGAATAGCATCAAGGCCTTGATACTGATTATGATAATCTGATCATAAAACAAATGAATATGAGTCTATATATTATTTAATCTCAAGATTTAATCGCATCAATTGCTTTTTATAAGTTACTTCAATTAAATGATATATAGAATATCTACGCCCAGACTATATTGGCGCAAACATACATCGAGCAGCATTTACCAACAAAGGTCGATTGTTTCTGATTCTCGTACAAAAGTCAATGATTGCTTGAAGGTAGATAAAAGTCTATAATAATTGTTAGCTAAGAACTTTAAATATATTTCAATTATTTATTAAAAATCTTACTTGTTCAAATTTCAGTTTATATATATGATCATTTTGCTTTTTTGTCTAATCTAGATAGCTGTCAACTGAAGGGTTTTCACTCGCAACTACATATGGCTATAATAATTCACACGTCATAGCATGCTGATAAATATTGCAGATAAAGTCCCACAACTTGTGATAGTTCACACATTTTTTAAAAAATTTAAGTTGGTTTTTAGTTCTGTATCCTTGTAAAATTGCGAACTATTTAATATCAATTTTCCTTAAATATATTAAACCAGAATGACAGACTGTTGTGATTCTTTAATGAAATGTATAATTTATCTTACTAAATCAACAAAAAAAAATTATACCAATTTAATTCTACAAATGCCTTGAGCATATTCATTTCTTCGTACAAGGTTCTGAGAATCAGTATAAGCTATGGAAAGTCTTTCTTAATCTTTTGAGCTAGATTATACAGAACGCCATCACAAACAACTGGTAACCATTTTCGCATTCCTTGTTCTATTTCCACAATATCCTGTATATATTTAAAATTTTTTCTAATATTATTTACTGAATTAGAATTAAGTTCTAATGGATCTGATACATGCATTTTTGGAACAATTATATTATGTTCTGGTTCTGATCGTTGTATAATACTAACATGCTTGAAAAATAAACTCTTTTTTTCCTGAACATATGTATGAGACCTTATTATGAAGGATTTTGATTGAGGCGTATCATTAATTTCATTAGCTATTTCTGCTTGTAAAGTAGCCAATGTATCTAATTTCTCATTACACTGAGGGCAATTATATTTTTTATTGTTTATGTTAGTTGTGTTGCATTTTTTGCATCATTTAGATTAACTCCTGATGCCTTTTTGATTTGTTATAGCAAGATTGATAGAATTTATTTGTTCATTTTTTTCAGTGATAAGGTCTT